TCACATTTAAGGTTTCCTAACTCTATGGACTTCTATAGGCCTGGGGAAGGATTTATATATTGAAGTTCTGCTGTAGATATATACACTATATTGACAAAAGTATTGGGACACCCCTCCAAATAATTGGATTCAGGTGTTCCAATCACCTCCATGGCCACATGTGTATAAATTCAAGCACCTAGGCATGCAGACTGCTTCTACAAACATTTGTGAAAGAATGGGTCGCTCTCAGGAGCTCAGTGAATTCAAGCGTGGTACTGTTTATAGGTTGCCACCTGTGAAATAAGACTATCCGTGAAATTTCCTTGCTACTAAATATTCCACAGTCAACTGTTAGTGGTATTATAACAAAGCAGAAACCACTGGGAACAACAGCAACTCAGCCACCTCTGGGATGAATTAGAGCGGAGACTGCCAACCAGGCCTTCTTGTTCTATATTAGTATCTGACAAATGCACTTTTGGAAGAATGGTCAAACATTCCCATAGATACACTCCTAAACCTTCTGGACAGCCTTCCCAGAAGAGTTGAAGCTGTTATAACTGCAAAGAGTTGGCCAATATTGAACCTTACCGACTAAGACTGGGATGCCATTAAAGTTCATGTGCATGCAAAGGCAGGCGCCCAATACTTTTGGCAATATAGTGTACATTACACATATATATATATATATATATATATATATATATATATATATATATGTACATTTCAAATGGTATTAGCTTTCCCATCCCATACATTTCTATATAAAATGTGGGCCTACCTAAACCATCCAATCAAACTGTATCTATTCAAGCAGGCACACTACAAAGCTTTCTGCAAATTCAAGGGAAATTGCACAGTCAGATCATGACGTGTGATGAGATAAAAGCACCTCAAAGATGAAAAAAATAGCCCTCCACAGTAATTATCATGGGGAGGTCACACATATCCTCCCATAAATCCCCTATTAGTTTTATATCAAAACCACTGTATATAGATATCAATTTTATAAGCTCCAACAGTCAATCCCCCCAACGAGGGCTCAAATAACAGCAACAAAATATTTGGATCTTGGAATTTAAACACTACCCAAAATGGTCAAGTCCAAAATGCTGTTTGTTCCAAACATAAGTTGAGTACAAAAAAAAAACATATTTCAGGGGCCAAACTTTTCCCCCTTTATCAGGACTTGATGAAATATAGATAGTGTGTGGACTTAGGGTGTGATGAGTTTTCAGAATATTGTGATAACACAGCAACACTGAGCAGCTCAACAGCACTGATGAAGGGGGCTATGCATGGACAATGAAATGTGTTGGCTTTTGTATTAAATTTAAGCTTGGAATAAACTTCATTTTGGACTCGAATATGTTAGTGTGGTGCTCCAATTCCAGATCCAAATATTTCCTTCACAAACCAGACTATGATAGCCTTTCCTTGTGCAGAAACTGCCTACCTATTTTGTGGATACCCCACAGTGAGATCATAAGTATCCTAGTCACAACAACAAAAATATAAAACTAGCAGGCAACATTATCTCAAAGGCTCCTGTTCTATCAATCCATCCCTTAAAAGAGTAACAACATGACAGAGGATCCAACCGCTTAACACTCTAAAGCTATAAAAAAAAAATGTTGACACGGGTTCTACTTTACATTCTTCACTGGGTTCGGGTAGCTGTCAGAGACCCCATAGTAAGATGTCCCACCCTTTATCCCCCACTATAGCATCTTATTCCTGGATCGTACCTTGATTCTCAGAGCCACATTTTCTATAATGTAAAATAGATAAACATCCATCAGGGATTTAATGGGCTCAGGTGTAGATATCTAACCACCATAGATACAGTATACAGGAAGATGTTGGATGTTTCAGTCCACTAGCTTCTACCCAATGCTGAATTGTGAGTTTAGGATGGAATGATTGATCATGTTTTTTTCCAATGCAGCACGATGTGGATCCAGTTTTTCAGATGCCTACAAACCTGTCCAGATCCAAATTGGTGGAGACCTAGACTGTACCTGGGACATAGTGAGGTCATCCAATGAGACCACCAGATTAATCTTCTCCATACTTAAGTAAGAACAACTTAAAAACAATGTACATAATGTATTGACCTACAGCACACATTGTTCATTCTTTCTGACCTATCTAATCTGATGAAGACTGAAATATGATTGGTCACATCAGTGCTTTTGTTAAGATATCATAAGATTTATAAACCCAGTCAATGCAATGACAAACTGTAGATCACTTATGTAGCTGTTTTTAACTGGTTAATCTTGAGGTAAAATGGAAGCATGGCAGTGTAATGGCATGACAGAGAGCATCAGTATATGAATCTGTATAATGACAGAGAGGCTCGATATATGAATCTGCAATGATCATACAAATCTACAATGGTCTAAAATCAAAATAAAGCTGTTTTCTTTTATTCTAAGTTTAGAGCTGTATTTAGACATCATCCTGCCCTAGATAATCCTGAATAACAGTATGACAGCCTTTGGTACAAGCTCCCTTGTATCATGTAAAAACTGCTAGCATGTGCTATATGGAAAGATTATCTTTATATAAAGAGCTATTTGTCAGCTGTACAGATCACCCATCAAGAAAGAAGAACGTTTTTCAAGTTGTGGGAATTATAAAGTAGTAACATTGTCTTGGAGTCTTGTTGCTGAATTAAAACACAAATGCCCAGAGGTGGGTAGCAGAGGGGGATAAATAAGTAGAAGACTAACTTAAGCACATCAGCACAGTAGCTAAGTGATCCTCACTTCCGCCTAGCAGCACTAGGGTCATTGGTTTGAATTCCAAGCATGTCACTACCTGCATGGAGTTTGCATGTTCTCCCTGTGTCTGTGTGGGTTTTCTCTGGGTACTCCAGTTTCCTCCCACATGCTGGTAGGTTAATTGGCTCCTGTGTAAATTGGCCCTAATATGTGTATTTATGAATGTGAGTTAGGGACCTTAGATTGTAAGATCCTTGGGGACAGGGACTGATGTGAATGTACAATATATGTAAAGCACTACGTAAATTGACAGCGCTATATACAGTAAGTACCTGAAATAAAAATTGTATTATGGAATTTGTGTGGCTCAGTGCTTCCTCTCTAACCCTGCTGTCCTAGGCACTGGCCCACAAATGCCGCTGTGGAAAATACTGTACAGTTCCAGTTGAGCTAAACAATCATCATCTGATTTAAACTGTAATCACTCTACCCCTTATCAAATGAAGGTATTATGCATAAATCAAGTCGTGCATTGACATCAGGAAGCATACTACATACAGGCACTAAATACCACCTTGTTGGGTTTCACACAATAAGTGCTAACTCATATGGCCTTATGCATGATACCTTCAAAGACCAAATTTATGAGCAAGTTTCTAATGTGGGTGGTCCAAGCAAGTTCCAGGTAGCAACAAGGATCATTGTTGAATGAGGTCTAGAGCCATCTGTAGCTGGCCTTATGAAGATAATGGAAATATCTGCATGCTTTCACCCACTATTCCTAAACAAGGAATACATCTCTTGATTTTGAAATGGATGTGATAATATGGAAATGATTTTTGTTTTTTTCAAAGCTATGCTGGTCTTCACAGAATACAACCTTAAAGCAGAGGTCCAGTCAAAATAAAAAAAATTAAAAAAGTCAGCAGCTACAAAAACTGTAGCTGCTGACTTTTAAAAACTGACACTCATCTGTCCCTCGATCCCACAGTGTCCTCACACCAGCTGGATTCCCTGCCGTCCTGTGTCCCCAGCGCTGGAATCTTCAGTATGGGCACCCGGCTGTGACAGCTTGCAGTTTCAAAGCCAAGTGCCCACTGCGTATGCGCGAGTAGCGCTGTGCTTTGTGAATGGTCCTGTACTCTTCTAGGACCTGCCACGTGTTCCAGAAGACTACAAGGAGGGAGGGGGAAGGACAACCTCCGCTGCTGATCACCTAGGCGATTGCAGCGGATGTGGAAGCAGGCACCTGTCAAATTCGAGTACCCCCCTCACTCCCCAAAGGTGCCAATCCTTAATGTGGAGTGGGGGACGAAGCCTTAAAGTGGAACTTTCTATTTTCTCCAGTGTAGAAAGTCCATAATGCAAAACTGATGATTCAGCAATTTATTGATACTGTGGATAAAATGAATGTAACATTGCTAGCAGCTTCAAGCAAGCAAAGTAGGATATAAATAACAAATACTCCTCAAAGCCTAAGTTTAGTAAAAAAAAGATTTAAAAAAATCAGCATAAAAAACATTGCTTATATCCAAGGTGATGTGTCCATTGTGCTGATGGCTGCAAAATTTGTTGAAATCCTCTTCCCCCTCAAATTCCACCCTTTTCCCCTGCCATCGTAATCTTCGGTGCCATGGGGGTTAATAGAGCTGGGGGCCCTGTGGTTTGCACTCATCAACTATGCCTGTCTTATCCACTGCCTTCCTCAATTCATAGAAGCTGTACTATAGCTTCTATGAATGAAAAATGATCTCTGAACAGAGGATATGAACCTTTCATTCATACTCCCATCCTACATTCATAGATCGCTGTATATAGTACAGCTTTTAAATATTATATATTATATAATTTTTATTACATTATAAAAAAGTTTTAATCTGCTGTACAAAAAATGACAATAAAACTGGATTGGTTTCCATGGTTAACTTTTTTTTTGTGGGAAAGTAGGAAATAGTTAGACCCTGTCAAGTCTTTATTGTTGTCTGTGTCCCCATTGGGGAAATCCACCAAACTATTTGTTCTGGTGACCACTGTCTTCAAAAAAGAAAGTGAGGAGAAATCCAATGTTTTAGAGTTATCACAAGAACAAGAGCTGAGGGGAAGTCTTCCAATGGAGACATCTATGCCAGAAACAACCATTTCCTCACACTTTGGGAGATCTCCTATAACTTTTAGTTGCACCTATAGGACAGAAAAAAAAAAAAAAGAAATCTCCCAACAGTAGACTAGAAAACTAAAATAAAAAAATGCTGGCAATACATATACTTTAAAATATTTATTTTTATGATAATGTTCTTCTCTTGCAGCCTGAATCCATCCGCAGACTGCTCCCAGGAGAACATCACTGTAATGGACGAAAATTTCGAACAGCTGGGGGTGTTGTGTCCAAACTCTAATAGGATTGCTGAGTTTGAATCTTCAGGCAATGTGTATATCAGAGCAACCACCAACTCATATTCTCTTATAAGGACTATTTACTTCTTTTTTTACTCCCTCAATCTTGCAAATGGTAAGTTAGCCACTGCACAAGTCAAGTAGTCTCTTGCAGGAAACATTTTTTGGGCTTAAAGTATATGTAATATGGTTAAGCCCACTGTCGTGTTTTTTTCTGTCTGTGTCCCTGCGGGGAGATTTCCATTCACTTTCTGTCCGAGAGACACAGCAGAAAGTAAGTAAGAGATCTCTTCAAATCAAGGAGATGTCCCTTTTTAGACAGTTGTCACCAGAACAGGTGTCTTCATTGGAGAAGTTCCTATCACCCATTGTTCATGCAACAACATCCAAAATTTTGGATCACATTCTATACATCAGGTCAAAAAATGAGGGTGAATTTCCCCAATGGGGATAAAACAGCAATAAAAACCTGACAAGGGTTCTAAGAATCCTTTCACATGGGCAGCGTTCATTCCAAACTGCAGAGGATCTGTGAACAGATCTTCTGCTGAAATGGAGCAGAATGGAAATGATGTCACTATTGTGACATCCTGGTCTGTTCAGTGTTTTCCTCCTCCATGTGATGGAGGAAAAATGGAGCCTAAAACCTGTGAAAACTGTGAAAGTCACTTCAAAAGTTACTTTAAAGCCTAACTTGAGGTTGAGTCAAATTCAGAGCTACCTCTAGTGGATAATCTAAAATGCTCAATATTTAAAAACAAAGAACAGTATGAAAAAGCAAGAATGCAAAACTGTGAAAGTTAGATCAAAAATTACTTTAACACCTAACTGCAGCTATGGAGGGTGGATTTTTTCATATTCCTTGGTGTTGGGCTCAAGGGCGGACTGACAACTTATGGGGCCCCCGGGCAATAGGAGATCATGGGGCCCCTGTGACCTTGCCCAAACTCAAATAAGCCTATGAAAAAGGTACCAGGGGCATCTCACGGGGCCCCCTACTGACCCCGGGCCCTCGGGCAGTGCCCGAGTATCCAAATGGTCAGTCCTCCCCTGGTTGGGCTTTAAGGTCATCTTTGATCCCACTTTCACAGTATTACATTCTCGCTCTTCCATATTCTTATTATTGTATTAAACATAGAGATTTGTAGATTATGCACTAGAGGTATTGGATTCATCCTCATTCAACATTCCTGCTGTAAAGTGTAAAAAACAAAAACAAGAACAAAATGTAATATATTGCATCTTACCAATCCCTACATCTGATGGCTGCATTAGTTTTCTTTTTTTCATCCTGTCAGTAAAACACATCATGTCCCAAGGTGTCAACACTGCACTGTATCTATGGAGGAGCAGTGCTGCTACCCTAGGACAAGAAATAGGATAGGACTACAGAATGTGTCTCTTACCTACAGTTTAAAAGGAATGAGTATTTGAAACAGTTGTTTTATTTATGTGTACCTTGAAAAATAGAAAATTACTCTATTCGCCTTTTTAAGCTGCCCATACACTGTATTATACAATCTCCTTTAGATTTACAACAAAAAATAAGAAATATAAAGATACACCGAAACAATTCATTCAATTTGTGTAAAATCAGACAGGTCCTTAAATTACATAGTTGATGCTAGATCTACAGGAGCTTCAATCAAACTGTATTGTATATGGTGACCCTTACAGTCATTTTAACCAATATATTTACAGTGACCACATTTTCCCAACTTTTCTTTGTTTTTTTAAAGCTGTGGACTGTGGTGGGGACCTCAGTGGTACTTCAGGAACAATTTCCAGCCCCAATTATCCTAATCGACACCAACCTTTTACCTACTGTGTCTGGAACGTGAAAACACCAAAGAACACAATAGCCAATCTGTCATTCACAGAAATCTTGTAAGTTAATTCTGACTATTACATTGCAAAACACATTAAGCAGTGGAAAGCCGCAACTGGAGATCAGCTGGTAGTTTGGGACTCTCTGGATTAGGGATGCGTTAAGTGGTTAGCGCAACAGAGAACACGTGGTAGATTGAGCCTCTTTTTGGAGGGACCTGGTCATTTCAAGCTTTGCATGGGACAGTTTGCTTCATCAACTGAGAAGGTGATGCAATGATCCCCTTACTAGTTAACTTATCTAAGCAGAGTGGTAGTAGAGACCCGTTTTTTTGTAGAGGAAGGCCAGGCTCAAAAAAAGAGTACAGGCTCTTCTCCTGGATGACCTTTGGTCACCTAGCAGGATCTTGCCATTAAAGTCCTGGGAGTTTTGCTTCATTTGGGAGACATCACTGACCTAATAAGGAAGTACTATACTACTTTTTAGGTTATAAGGAATTACACTACTTTCATATAAGACCTGTGATGTTACAGGATCTCAGGGATACTCACCCCATAACCTTCAGATCCAAAGCCAATACAGAGCCTGCTGTTAGATATAAAATCTACCCACTGTCTACTGTAAATCGAAAGGAGAGAGTGAACCTGATGTAGAACTAGTGTCTCAGCTTCCCCATCAGCCTCTGCCCACTGTTAGCCTCTTTGGATGCTAGGAGACTGTCATCTGTGAAGACTACGGCATCCTTAAAGCTGTAATAAATTCAAAAACAAAAATGTCATATATTGTAGCTTACCAATCCTTATGTACCACTACCCACTTAGAAATTTCTGAGTTTTGGGTCCCCCTAAAGCTCTGCACCACCAGACAAAACGCATTTTCTTCCACACTTTGCATTCAGAGTAAGTAAGTCCTTGAGCTTAGCTTTGTGATTTTTATTAAGGGGTTTAGAACTTGGATAGGGTTGTGGGGTGTATGGAATGCCCAAGGAAACGGCAAACTTGAGGACAAATTACTTGTACAAGCAACTATATACAGATGTTGACAAAATAGTCCTTCCTTTAAGAGCATTCCAGCTCTCTGGTGCCTTAGGGTATTCCCTGGGGGGGCCCAGAAACTGCCAATTTAGCACAGCAGCCCCGGATGAGAACCTAGTTGAGTTTTCCATCTGACTGCCCTCTCCCCTTATCTGGCCAAGGGAGTGTAAGAGTACTCACACTGTCCTCTCTCCTGATAGCTTAATGGGTTGGTGGCTACCTTCAGGCCTTTCGCTGCGCTGGCTCCTTCCCTGCTGCTCAGGATGTCCTTCCTTGGAGACGGTGGTACAGTGGAGATCCTCTTCTTCCTGTAGGTAAGCCCCTTCCCTGGACCCCATCCCAGGCTCCACACTCCAGTATCTCACTCAGTCCTCCACCTGACACTGCTCACTTCCACCTAGGCTCTTCAATACATAAGGGTTGCCTTAGTCACCATGCCCAGCTTCCTGCCAGGGGATTGGCCAAGGTCCCTCAAGTATTCATATCCGAGCCCCCCCCCCCCCCCCCCATTCTTCCTCCAGAAAGCTCTCAGGTTTCTGGAGAGGTGGGAGGGCTCCAGAAGCCCTGACCTTCAGAACCTCCCTAGCCTCTCCTGAGGTAACTTCTCTACCTCACTCCCAGACTGCTACTCAGCCTAAAAAACAAATCAACAAACTGCTATCTGGCTAACCTGGAGGACATTACATTTAGCTGTGGTGGCTGCATTCATTTTCTTTTTTTAGACTTTTCCCTCTTTTTTCACTTAGTAAGCTTGCCAGTAACACATCTCCTGTATTAGAGTGCCCCAATCTGGGTGAAGGAGCAACAGAGAAACATTTGGACAGCAGCATTATCAGTCTTGGGAGAGGGTAGTGTCAGATGCACTAGCAGAGTTAGATACACTAATAAATTAAAGCCAAACTTTAGCTCAACCTACAGTTACAGCAACAGCTTTTCAATTTTGGGATAAAAGTTTTACATGAATAAATAAAAGCTGATTATTGTAATTGTATACCCTGTCCGTGGTATATGGTTTGTCTCAACTGCTACATTTACAGGACAGCATGTTCTGTTGAAAAGCAACAGACATACTGGCCAGATCGCCAGGTGAAAATAAAGGAAAGAAAGCCTAAAAAGAAAACTATTGTAGCTTTCACATCTAAGAATTGGTAAGCTGCAATATGATAAAAAGTTTGCTTTTGGGTTGAATACTGCTTTAACAACCAGCAACAGGTGGGGAGGGGAGGAGGTCCTCCACAGTATACAGAGACAGGCATTTTGCCTTTATCTGTAAGACAACTTACATTTGGTCTTTATTACCTCCAATTTCATTACCTACAAACTGGAGGTAATTCAGTTTTGAATTTGGTGCAGTAATAGGACCACTTTTTTTTAAAAAGAAGTGGCATTAAGAAATTCCTGAATCTGCTGCACATATCAGTAAGGCTACCAAAAGCAGGGATTTTTTTAATCTGGTGCTGGCCATTTTAAAGGGCCATACTGCTAACAAAGTGTTGTTAGGGCTTTAATGAATTACCCCCAGAGTTCCTTTCTTAAAGCTTAACTCCAGACATGAAAAACTTTAATCTAAAACTTAAATCTATATTCTTTAGCCACATGGGATATAAATTCACTTTGTGTACACCAAATGCCTTTGCAAATCCAGATGTAGCTGGGTGCTGCTGCCGGCTGTGTGTGGATTCCTTTCCCTTTGCCATTATGAACAGTAAACTGGGCTGTTTGCAGATCCCCTCGCTCATTCTTCTGTCTCTGTATGCCAACCAAATCACTATTAGTAGAGGAGGGGGAATGGGTGGGATATCAGCTCTATTTACTGTTTATAATGCACACAGCCAGCAGCAGCACCCGGCTACAGATATTACCTTGGAAAAGTAACAGTGACAGCATCACTGTACTGCACACAGCCTGGGCAGGGAGCAGAGCTTTGGGAGCGACCCAGCAAGTCCTCCCACAACAGGCTGTCTGCAGAAAACTACAGGAGGGGCAGATACAAGACCAGTTACCAAAGCAGAGCAACAGTTGCATAGATGCAAGGTTTTACACTGGATTATTGCACAAATTTCAAAAGAAACACACAAAGCACACCAAAATTCAGAGTAAAAATACAAATGAACCTTGTATTTACTTTTTTGTTTATACCGGAGTTGAGCTTTAATTTTACAGATGAATAGGAAATGTAGGTCCCTTTCTCTGGGTTAAAATGTTGTATGTTAAAATTGTCATCATAATTTTAAGCAGCAAAGTGCTATAATCTTTTTCTTGGAATTTAGTCATTGTAGAACATACTGCAATCCTCTAATTATTGAAATGTTAATTTAATAAAGGAAAGGATAACTGGTGTGAAAAGTGCAGTAAGCAATAGCAATCAAGTGTACTTTACCTTGTTAAATAATGTGAATGTGTGTTTCTTTAGTGCTACAAATCCTGCTGTCATTTATTAAAAAGTGATGGTTTTTATTTTACTTTAGACTTTGCTTTGCGACTTCAACTTCTCTGCTATTCTCTCTGCAGTATTGAACCAGATTCCAACTGCCGATTTGATTTTATTGCCCTGTTTGATGGCCCAAACACACACTCCCCTCTGAAGGATGTGCTGTGTGGTCGTACGGTGACTGAGTTGGAGATGTCTTCCAATTCTTTCACGCTGGTGTTCAGCGCTGATTACGCCAACTCCTATTATGGCTTTTCTGTCGACTACACTGCCATACCACTATCATCCAACAGTGAGTACTAAATGGAAATGATTCAAATTAATATGCTCTTTTCCAGCAGGCTTGTGCTGATATAGAATGATGTAGGATAAATACACTGCTCAAAAAAATTAAAGGAACACTTTTTAATCAGAGTATAGTATCAAGTCAAACTCCTGGCATATTGATCTGGTCAGTTAAGTAGCAGAGGGAGTTTTTAATCAGTTTCAGCTGCTTTGGTGTTAATGAAATTAACAACAGGTGCACTAGATGGGCAACAATGAGACAACCCACAAAACAGGAAAGATTTTACAGGTGGAGGCCACTGACATTTTTTTCCCTACTCATCTTTTCTGGCTGTTTCTACTACTGGTACTACTGGTAGCATGAGGAGATACATGGACCTTACAGAGGTTGCACAGGCAGTCCAACTCCTCCAGGATGGCACATCAATACGTGCCATTGCCAGAATGTTTGCTGTGTCTCCCAGCACAGTCTCAAGAGCATGGAGGAGATTCCAGGAGACAGGCATTTACTCTAGGAGAGCTGGACAGGGCTGTAGAAGGTCCTTAACCCATCAGCAGGACCGGTATCTGCTCCTTTGTGCAAGGAGGAACAGGAGGAGCACTGCAAGAGCCCTACAAAATGACCTCCAACAGACCACTGGTGTGAATGTCTCTGACCAAACAATCAGAAACAGACTTCATGAGTGTGGCCTGAGGGCCCGACATCCTCTAGCGGGCCCTGTGCTCACTGCCCGGCACCATAGAGCTTGACTGGCATTTGCCTTTGAACACCAGAATTTACAGGTCTGCCACTGGCGCCCTGTGCTTTTCACAGATGAGAGCAGGTTCACCCTGAGCTCATGTGACAGATGTGAAAGGGTCTGGAGGAGCCATGGAGAATGGTATGCTACCTGTAACATCATGACCGTTTTGGTGGTGGGTCAGTGATGGTCTGGGGAGGCATATCCATGGAGGGGTGCACAGATCTCTACAGGCTAGACAATGGCAGCCTGACTGCCATTAGGTATCGGGATGAAATCCTTGGACCCATTGTCAGACCCTACACTGGTGCAGTGGGCCCTGGGTTCCTCCTGGTGCACGGCAATGCCCGGCCTCATGTAGTGAGAGTATGCAGGCAGTTCCTGGAGGATGAAGGAATTGATACCATTGAATGCCCCCCACGCTCGCCTGACCTACAGTAAATCCAATAGAACACCTCTGGGATATCATGTTTCGGTCCATCCGACACCACCAGGTTGCACCTCAGACTGCCCAGGAGCTCAGTGATGCCCTGGTCCAGATCTGGGAGGAAATACCCCAGGACACGATCCGTCGTTTCATTAGATGCATGCCCCGATGTTGTCAGGCATGCATACAAGCACGTGGGGGCCATACAAACTACTGAGTACCATTTTGAGTTGCTGCAATGAAATTTCAGCAAAACGGACTAGCCTGCTGCATAATTTTTTCACTTTGATTTTCAGGGTGCCTTTGAATTCAGTCTTCTGTAGGTTGATAATTTTCATTTCTATCAAACGATGGGGCATCCTTACGTTCCTAACACATTACTTAGTCCATATCAGTATAGATATCCAGCATGATATTTTCCCCATTGAGATCTGATGTGTTTTCAAAATGTTCCTTTAATTTTTTTGAGCAGTGTATATTCCAGTAAATAAAGGGGAAGTCTGCCCAAAGCATATGCTTCATTGTTGGCTGGCCACCTGTGGGCTGAATCGGCTGTCGAATTCCTGTATCTCTAGCATTTTTATTTTTGTTCAATCAGTTTTATTGAAGGTTTTCGTGCATACAAATGACATAGAAAAAAAGCAAATGTACACTATGGGGTTGATTTACTAAAACTGGAGAGTGCAAAATCTGGTGCAGTTCTGCATGGAAACCAATCAGCTTCCATGTTCCAGGTTTTTTTGCCAAAGCTTAATTGAACAAGCTGAAGTGAGAAGCTGCACCAGATTTTGCACTCACTCGTTCTAGTATATTAACCCCCATATGTATATACAGCATATGAACCATATCCCTGTGGTAAAGGCGCAATGCTGGTATATTCAACAGTCATCTTTTCAAATCACCAAAGAAGTAGAAAGAGAGAAGAGGAGTTGTAGTGGAATAAAAAAGAATCAAGAAGAACACAAAGTAAGAGAGAAATAAAAGAAAAGGGGATGAGGAGAGGAACCATGTCTGGGTAGGCACAGGTAACTTGGTTAGTAAAGTATGTCCAAGCTACAGAAGGGGACGATCAAAGTCTGCAGGCAGGAAATGTAAGACCCACGTATCCAAACTTTCTGGAATTTAGGCATTGTACCCAAAGACTTTGCTATCAACTTTTCATTAATCACTACCCTGAGCAATCTATTCTTGACTGCAGATGTGCTTGATGTATCAATGAACCAAGCTGTTGCTATTATTTGCTTCACCGCCGTTAACACATGAATTATAAGTATGAATCGTTTTTGTAGAGCTGTTAGGGGGTTTTAATTTAGAAGTGCATAAGATAGGCCTAGAGAAATTGTGCATTGAAAGAGGCGTGTAGGATTTTGTGGGTGTTGGTTCAAAATCTTTGAACAATAGGACAAGTCCACCAGATGTGGAAATAAGTTCCCATTGTTGAACAGCCTCAGAAACAAATGATCGGGTTGCCTGGAAATCCCCATGCTATGTGAGGTACACCATATCCCGCCACAGTCCTTATAATTGGTTTTTGCTGAAGTTGCATTGTGGGAACAGGATTTTGCAATTTCTCAAATTTGGTCTCAGTCTTCATGCTTTAAGGCTGTTTCTAGGTCTGACTCCTATTTCCATGTGTAAGCAATAGGTGATGGTGTAATTTTGGTATCAAGAGATTAGAGAAAAGGGAGATCAGTCCTGGAGAGTGTGGATCATACATGCATTTGGACTCAAACTGAGTAATCCCTAATCTATCTCCAGAGATACTGTATGTGCTGCAGTGGAAGCATAGGGGTTGATTTACTAAAACTGGATGGTGCAAAACTTGGTGCAGTTGTGCATGGCAGCCAATAAGTTTCCAACTGCAACTTGTTCAGTTAGGTGTTGACAAAAAACACTGGAAGCTGATTGGTTTCTATGCAGAGATGCACCAGGTTTTCCACTCATCAGTTTTAGTAAACCCATTCCATAATGTCTGCAGCAGAAAAGTTTGGAGTTAGGCAGATGATTATCATGTTTTAGATTAGCAAATGACTAAGCCTATGACAAAGCCCAGTCACGCCAGAACTAATCCAATGTTTAAAAATGCCAGAAGAGTGAAATTCCAGGGGGAATGATGGATTACAAATGATAGATAATCTCTAGTATTTTTGATTACACTAATTATTTTGCAGAATTTGTCTCTGTGTCATTCCTTGACCCAAGGTGAAAATGAAACCTTCACATTGGGTTTGTACACTTAGGCAAGTCAATGTTAATGCACAAAACTTAGAAGCAGCTCAAATGAAACAGACTATTAAAGAAATAATAGCAGGTGAGAAGAGGCTGCTCATAAGTAACTGAAAAGCATCAGAGAAAAGTCTTAGAAGTAACTGATAAGATGCTTAGTAGAAACTGAGAAGCAGCTCAGAAGGAATTCAAAAGAGTCTCAGAAGGAACTGAGAAAATGCATCTAAGAGGACCTGCTCCAAAGAAACTTGGAAGAATTACAGATGGTCAAGAAGAAGTTGATGAGAGAGCTTCTCCTACTCCTCCCATCTAAAACCACATGGAGTTGATGACAGGGAGTAACAGGACAAGGAGTGGCACAGGTGCCTGTGGTGTGTCCAGATGCAGCAGGTGGTCGGAAAACAGTCTGGATATTGTTGAGACACTGAAGATACTCAGACCAGATCTAGTGCAGAAGGCTGGCAGACAGGTCAGACTCAGGAACCCACAGATGCAGGAAGCAGGGACATGGTTATGACAAGCCGAGGACAGCAACAGCCAGGCAGCTGGAAGTACTAATTCAGAAAGCAGTCCAGGCCAAGATTAGTATCAGAGACTTAACAAAGGTACCAAATCAGCAGGCAGAAGGAGAAGTCAGGAAACAAGCCAAGGTCATGAGTGGAAGATATGAATATAGCAAAGTCAGAAGTGAAGCTGGGGCAAACGCAGAATCACAGAACACATGAACTCCCCTCAGTTGTGCATTGCTTTAAGTAGGACACTCTGTACCGAAGCCGGTGCTAGACGTGCATGCTAATACACGCGCACGTGAGCATGTTACAAACATGCAGGTGTGTGCACAGCCATGAGTACACATTGGAACATGAGCTGTAATATGCACACATGCAGATCTTCAGGTACAGCCATGCACTTGACTTTGCTGACAATGTTACTCTGAGGGTGAAACAGGTGGTGGGGGGTCCATTGTTTTCGTTTGAAATGGCTGCAGCAAGTGGACATAACCAAGAATCAGGGATAAGATGTGTGTAATGTACCTGATGGAGGAGCATGAAGCACTGGGGGTAGGCCTCTCTTACAGCCCCGGTTTAGGAACCCCTGGTAAGGTGACAGGGAACACCAGAGCATGGGGTGGCACGAATACCTGATAGTCTGGTTGATGCCGATGTGCCATCAGAAGAGCAGAACCCCAGGACCAGATAGGCTGGCAGATGAACTGGAACTGATGCAGACACAGGATGGCAGAGGCAGCTGAAGGACAGGTACAAGGCAGGGTGAGATGGTCCGAGTCGGCAACTATCGAGCAGATGAGGTACAAGCGGCAGGCAGAAACATAGTTAGAAGTCAAGCCAGGGTCAGTAACAACAGATGGTATATGACAGGAGGAGCCGGCAGAGACATAATCCAAGGACAGGTCAAGGGTCAGTACAGGCGGCAATCAGAGCAGAATCAGGGGCAGACCGGGTCAATAACAGAAGATCAGGCAGTAACTGGTATCAGGAACACAGGAACACAGTAGACCAAACGGCACTGACAGGCTGCAATAGTGCATTTTAAATAGCCCCTGTGGTGCCAATGCAAATTCACGTTCGTGCTTGTGCTCCCACTCGCACACATGCCCATGCATTTTCAGACCGGCTGCGACAGAGTTCCTTAAATTCATGCACCTGCGCACATGGGCATTCCTTTCCTGACAATATATGTAAACAACTAAGACAACAAATAACAATGATAAAATCAATTCTGGGAACAGCTGAGTTCACTTAATGCAAATAGTCATGTGCCGCCTTTCAACAGTTTGGAGGTGCAAAATGTAAAAATGATTGGAGCAGATAAAAGTCAAAAGTTTTAAAGTGTTGCTAGAGCATTACTTTATTATATTTAAAAAAAATGGATGCCCTTTTTTTGCAGGAAAAGCGCTTCGTAAGCAACAAGCTTCACTTTATTTTTTTCAAATGTATGCAAGCCCGAAAGATTGTTGATGTAGTGTAGGAACTACTGGGAATTTAGTAGGATTCCAATAATGAGGGCTAGATATTTACAGTTGCTCTTTATTCTGTTAATACTTCATGTTATCCCAGTTTATTTGTCCAACATTGATTGTTTCTATGACCTTTTCGCATGTCTAGGCTCATTGTCTTGTTCTGGAGACTCGATGACTGTTGTTCTCAATCCAGCTTACATTTCTTCATTGGGATACGATGCAAATGATCTGACATTGATTGATAAAACATGTGGTCCTATATCTGCCAATCCTATTGTATTTGAGGTGCCCCTCACAAGCTGTGGTACACTTAAGAAGGTAGGTATTCAACATGTTAACCTTTGTGGAGGAAAAAAAAACCTAACATTGCTTTGGTAAACTGCAAATGCAGGCAAATAAAACCAATTAATGAGTGACCAATGCTGTCTTGAAAAACTGGTGACATTCTAATTACAACAGTTTTAGTTATAATGTTTTCTGCTTCAATAAAATAATTTTTAATTGAACCCACTGGTTTAAACAGATATCACAACCTTAGAGTTATCATAGATCAAAATAAAATGACTCTTCATCACAATATGTAAATCAGGTTACAATCAATAAAACTAGAAAATAATCTGTATGAAGGAGGTGATCTTAGCAAAGGGGTGTCGCTTTGGGTGCCAAAGGTTCTATGACTCGAGGCTTCACTGATAGAAATTTGGACATGCCTGACCTAGAAAAATGACAGCTAGTATTTGATTTGCCCCAATGATAAAAAATATACTTTTAAAGATTATGCATTCCATTGTGGCATATATTCAGAATGGGTCAGATTGGACTCCACTACTCAAATATACCAGCAATGTATCCATGGTAGCATCTGCTTAAAGTCATACTTCTCTTTTAAACGCAGGTGGTGGATCATACAATTTCCTACACAAACAGCATCTCTGCAAGTACAGTTGGCGTGATCACTAGACACAGGCAGTTGCAGGTCATTGTCACCTGTGAGCTTGGGAAAGACTCCATTGCTGAGATTATGTATGTGACTGAGGATGACATAATCCAGGAATACACAGGGTCTGGAGACTATGATGTTAGCTTGGCCTTCTATCCAACAGAGGACTTCAGCACTCCAGTGCAGGACTCTCCATATTTTATTGAGCTTGATGAGACCGTGTTCCTCCAAGCTACAGTCCAGTCTTCAGATGCTAACCTTACTGTATTTGTAGACACCTGCTTTGCCTCTCCCCAAGCTAATTTCCAGTCACCGAATTATGATCTCATCAGAAGCGGGTAAGTAGACGATACCAATTTGGACATATTTGATTTTCCTTGAGAGGGTTTCAGCTCTCTCTAAATATAAGATAGTTAACTGGCATCCAAAATTTTGAAAAAAATATACCAGCAGAAGACCACTAGCAGCTAGCAGCAGAGAGCAGGGCGCTATGCCCATGCAGCTTACGTTAACAAGTCATTGTGCAATGCAGGACCAGCAAAGTCCAAGACAGGGACAAGAGTTTGAGGAAGCCAGTGCCACACTACCACTGCCATTACTGAAGAAGAGCCAGCCATGATATCCTCCTACTCTCACCCAGGTCTTCCATAATGCTGCTCAGCTGGAGTGCTTCCCAGGAGATATATACTACTTCAAATACATTTCAAAGCACAAACCAGCCTCTGCCTCCTCCATGCACATGCACAAGCTGCACTCCAGCCTAGTTTATGTATAGCCCTGTTGTCACATGCAGACAGCAACCCTCTATATTTGCGTGGGATGGCTTACTCCTTTGCAACACAAGTGGCCTTCTCAACTTGCAGTTCTAAGGTCCTACATGGGACACTGTCCTCATCAACTTTGTATGTTCTCCCTGTTTGTTTAAGTTCCCCCCCCCCCAAGTACCCACTTTCCTCTAAGAGTTCCAAAACATACTAGTAGCTTATTTGACATTTGGGCCTAGTCTGGATTTACTCTTCTACCATAGCCCCTTCTGGGATAAGAAATGTTTAGGGGTACAACTATAAACCTGTTTCTGTAAAATGAGCAGAATGTGCCCATAATCAGTAACAAATACATGGATGTAGAAGTAAAAAAAGACTAAAACTGCACCTTGGAAAACCCTTGAACACAATGGGGTTGATTTACTAAAACTGGAGAGTGCAAACTCTGGTGCAGCTGTGCATGGTAGCCAGTCAGCTTCTATCTTCAGCTTGTTCACTTAACCCCCAATGCCATGTCTCCCGGCCTTTTAAAAGGTTTTTGATGCTTGGAGGCAGGGCGGGGTTTCTGATCATGTGATCGTCATAATTGGCTGTCACAGCGGTCACGTGATCGTAAAGCTCCCATTCGCAAGTAGAGATCAGGAGCTTTCCGTTCGGCGCCGGTAACTGTGCGGGGGCTCGGGCCTGCGCGCTATCAGCACAGGTCTATTTACATTTGGGTGCGCAAATATGCAGCCTCTCTGCGTCAAGGCCCACCTGCTGAGAGGCCATTTGTTTGTGTGTTCTCGGTGCAAAGGGGTTAAGCTTTGACAACAAAAATCTGGAAGTTGACTGGTTTCTATGCAGAGCTGCACCAGATTTTGCACTCTCCGGTTTTAGTAAATCTACCCCAATGTATGTTAACATAGCTAAGTGGTAAATTGCTTACAAAATTTACAACATTGTCTTTGAATGGGACATGAGAACTTCTGTGCTTCACGTACTGCCCAGCAGGTCCTATGGACACCCCACACCATGTTCCCGAATTGCTGTCCCCTCCATACCTCATCTAGACCTCCATCAGCGTGGGATTGACTGTGACAACCCACCCAATCTCCACTGTTACTTGTAGACATAGAAGAGGTCTTCCACTACTTACATTCTCTGCCACAATCTGCATTAGATGATTTCATCAGTCAGAGCTGCAGAGGAAGAAAGTGACAGCAGCAAGTCGGTGAGCTGTCACAGCTGGTCATGTGCTGATGGAGCTGTGTAGCTCAGCTTAACTATTTATAGGAGGACGCTCAGGGGGGAATGGTGGACCCCCTTAATCCCCCCATATCTACACGCCAGATACTAGATACTAATGGACCACCAGCTGGATTTTCAAATAGGAGCCAGATTCATTATTGTATCCAATACCTCTATATATGAAGACTAAGTCTGAATTCATACCTAAGGCTGGCCATACATTATATAATTTTCTTGTACAATTTTCCTTTAGATTTACCACAACCATATAATATGAGGTCAAACTTAAACACTTTCAATCTGTATGCAATCAAGCAGGCCCCTGCACTACATAGTTGAAGGTAAATCTAAAGGAAATTGAATAAGAAAATTGTATAATGTATGGTCAGCCTAAGCAGAGTGTATTCCTGGTGATTTTTAAGCTTTTTTTTCAGGAATTTTACAGATGTATTTCAAGCATTTTACAAGTATGTTTGCATGTGAATGAAGCTTCAGGAGTTTGTTTCCTGGGCTCTACAAGGAGGGAGAGCAGGTCTATAGGTGGAAAGGAGTTCTTCAGGCATAGAAATGTTGCGTGTATGAGTATTGAGTGTTTACAGGCCTTTCCATTGTAGTCTATAGAACCAAAAATGTCTGAAAAGAGTAAAAAAAAGAATCAAAACTAACATTCCAGAGTGCCAACATTTAAAAAATATATATTTTTGTTGAAAATTACCAGCACATCTCTGTGCTTAATACATACAATGAAATGTAATTTACAATGAATAGCAACATGAAAAATGTCTGGAATTTAAAGTCAACAAATCTTAATTTTCAACATAAATGGCAAAACCATTATTTTCATTTTTGGTAAATTTTGAGAAGTGATGATTATTTCAGAGAAAAAAAAATAAAATTGATTTTGTCCTGTTGCTAAATATACCAAGTAATGAACCAGTAAGCCATTTCTTGGCTATACATGCCTGGAAACATTTTTAAGGATTTACATCTTACAAAATTGTGTCCTTCTCACCAGATGTATAAAGGATGACACCTACAATAACATCCAATCTGGTAGTGGCTATGCCAGGTTCACCTTCAGTGCCTTCAAATTCTTGAACATCCACCCATCTCTGTACCTCCAGTGCCAGTTGGTGATCTGTGATAGTAATGATGCAGGATCCCGCTGTGATCAAGGATGTATCACACGTGAACGCAGAGATTTGGGATCCAAAGTTTGGAGAACCAACGCCGTAGTGGGTCCCATCCTTCTGAAACGCCACAATGAACCTGAGGCTGCAGGTTAGATTATTGTTTATCATTGACATGTGTATATATAAGCCTTGTGATAAAAATTGTCTACAGGCTGAAATGGGTTTAGTTGCCCATAGCTACTATTTTTTACCTCCATGTTTCTACATGACTTTTGAAACAGAGCTTTGCAGGTTTCACTATGACCTTCCCTCTTCTTGCTCCCCTCCTATTATCCTTTTCATGTGATATGTATAAAGTCTCTGAATCTCTTTTCCACAGGCTCTGTCAGCGAGAAGACTGAAGATGTGAAGACAGACCAGAGCAGCTTGTATGTGGTGGGCATCTCTGTTCTGGTAGTCAATGCCCTCATTGTGGCATTTGTGGTACTCAGGTACACCAGGAGAGAGCCCACAGGTTACAGATATCATACAGTGGCCACACACTAACTGGTGACTCTTTGCAATGCTCTACATGAAACTAATTATCCGCAAAGTTACAAAGCAGTAGCATACTTGAGTATAATTGAGTGTACCTCTGCTATGAACAAGTTTCTCCATATATATTAAACATTTATTTCTATTTTATTTCTAATATTAAAAATCTACAGGACAACTACCATTACCAATCGGAATAGCTCATTGTCTTGTTAAATTCAATAAAACAATAATATGTTTAACTTGCCAATTTGCAGGCCTTAACCTATCTTTGAATTATTTAAACTGGCTTATTGTTGCTAATCTACCGTACTGCAGAAACCTACAGCAAGCAATCTGATCTGACTTCAGTAAAGGGAAACTTGATTGGTTGTTTCGGCTTTCCAAATTTTGCACATCATCATTGCTACATCTATAAATACCATTGAGCAAAGCTTAGTAAAAAAAGCAAAAAATTACGGTATTTTCTATAATGTTCTTGGCTGGAATCAAGCCCTATTTTAGAAAATACACTGATTTTTTTTGTTTCCTTTTTATATACCCAAACCAATCCTTGCAGGATTTGTATCCATTACTGTGCAGATCCCCCTAAATCCAGCGTTTTCTAGGGCCCTGATGAAGGGGGATCCTTTGGAACCTCCCATACACATTCGTTTTTTTAACAGAAAGCCACAGAAAATTAACTATATCTTGTCTCAAATATTTGTCTGTGCTCTTCTCATATACTACTTTTTTTTAAATTAAAATTGAAATGCAACTTCTAGAAAACTAGAGGCATTTTCTACACATTTTGTTCATCTTAAGGAATCCAGAAATCTTACATCAATTATTTATATTAATCTTTTTTAAAAGACGATAATGATGAATTCCAAACTAGAAGAATTTTTTTCTGGAAGAGACTTCTTGAAGATGACCATTAAACACTATACTTGAATCTATGAATGACACAGGATCTCTGAATGGATAGCCATAGATCCTGTGTCATTCAAAGAAGATGCAGTATGACTTCTATGAATGACGGGTCTGGCAGGAAAGGGAGGGCAGAGTCAAGCCCTGTTGATGAGAGCTCCTTACAGCCCTTTAGCTGTATTAACCCTTGACGCACCAGAAGATTACAAATGCGGGGGGGGAGGGTTTCAGGGGCAGAGGAAGATTTCTCCTTAAAAATAGAAGCATCAACACAAGAGACAAAGCTCACTTACAGTAGTTATTTCCCTTCTGCTGATTTTTCTGTTTTTCATTTTAGCTACGTTGCCTTGAAAAAGTATTCATACCCCTTGAAATTTTTCCACATTTTGTCATGTTACAACCAAAAACGTAAATGTATCTTATTGGGATTTTATGTGATAGAACACAACACAAAGTGACACATAATTGTGAAGTGGAAGGAAAATGATAAATGGTTTTCAAAATGTTTTACAAATATCTGAAAAGTGTAGCGTGCATACAGTGGGGCAAAAAAGTATTTAATCAGCTACCAATTGTGCAAGTTTAAAAAGATGAGAGAGGCCTGTAATTGGCATCATAGGTAGACCTCAACTATGAGAGACAAAATGAGAAAAAAAATCCAAACAATCACATTGGCTGATTTGGAAAGAACTTATTTGCAAATTATGGTGGCCTGAACATGTGAAGGAGGGATTTCATTAACCCTATATAAGCTTCAACACAATCCAACTTTTTTTGGAATTGCACAGAACTTGACTACTGGCTCCAGCTAAAGTAATATGGCTTCTTCTCTGGCTTCATCATCACCACATTGTGATCCACCATCCTGAGACCACAGAGAGAGAGCCAGGATCAGCCTGAGCTTGGAGACATGGACCCATCTGATCCCTGGAAAGAACTTCATTGAGGCTAGGTTCACACTAATGCGGTGCGGTACATCGCACGTAATTCACACAGGAACCGCACCGCATTCCTGTGCAAATCACATGCGATTTGTGTGCGGTGCGATTGGAGCCATATATTATGTATGGCTCACATCACAGCGCATCCACACCAAAAAGGTGCAGGACCCTTTTTTGGGTCTGCACTAGAATCAGATCGCATGGGTATTCACACCTATGTGATCCGATTCTGCACATCGCACCACTTTTTGCAGACCGATTTCTGGGTGTTGTTAACTTAACATACACACCCACATCGGTTCGCATGAAAAGGGTGCGATTCTGATGCAGTGCGGAATTCGCACATAAAACATTGCAAATTCTACACCGCATCAGTGTGAATCAAGCCTTAGAGAGAAACAGACAGAAGTGTTGTACAGAGATAAATTCAGAGCCTGGTCTACGTATACTGCAGTAAATCTAACCCTGATACCTTGTGAAATGAAAATAAACTGTATGGTCACTTCTTATTGAATACAAATGATCCTTATTTGTGGCCTTGCTTAAAGCATATCTAAACAAAGGTACAAAAACTGATTGCAAATTACAGGACCTTATATGTGGTGGCTGCATTAGTTTTCCTTTCTTCAAACTTTTTTTCCCTTTTTTTTTAACCTGGTAATCTTGCTATTAACATATTGCTAATCATAGGGTGACAACCATATTGAGCATCGCTGTCATCCTAGGACAAAGAGTGTGTTTGGCCTACATCCTTTAACTATTCCCTTTTCTGAGGAATAGGTGTTTTGTGGTCAATGGAAACAGCAGGGATCAATGATTACAGTCCAGGGGCAGAGAGTACAAGAGGATATCAGCTCACAAGATTTGAGGCTGGGCGAACAGTCAATTTTTGCATTTAATGAACAGATATAATAAAATGCTTTCAATTGTACATTTAACAGACCAAAAAGGAAGCAAATAATAGAAATTGTTAGATTTTACATACAATTTGCATACAGTTTACATACAATTTGCATACAGTTTGCATACAATTTAGGACTCTAGTATGTCATCTCCAGAGATTATAATTCTAAAATTCTATCTATATTAGCATCTGTAAACATGGTACAATTTATTAGGCATGAGTAACATTTAAATGCCTATAGACAGGATTTATACTCCAGAGGTCTTATTCTAAAGGGTAACAGACCATAATGATTTCACTAAATTAATGCACACATTCATTGATTACATGGGGCAAAAGTCATCATGGACTAAAAGAATTTTAGCAAGTCAAAGGCAAGTCCATCCTAAGGCTGAAGAGACAACAGTGATTCGCTCAAGTCAGCTATACTACTACTACTACAGGTACTTATATAGCGCCCTCAATGTACGTAGTGTTTTACATATATATTGTACATTCACATCAGTCCCTAACCCTCAAGGGGTGTACAATCTAAGGTATCTATGCAGAGTAAATCCTCATACATCAATCCCTCGATGACTGAATGAGAGAGTGATATTTTAACAGCAATTCTGTCAGTGACAGAGCAATGGCACACTCATGTGGACATCAAAGGAGCGCTGATCTGGAACCAGGTAAGAATTTACTCTGTTCTGCCTAACAGTCCTGTAGCATTGCAGCAGGGGCAACTAACAACATTCCAATCAAGTCAAAGCAGGGGCAACTAACAACATTCCAATCAAGTCCAATCAAGTCAAAGCAGGGGCAACTAACAATGTTCCAATCAAGTCAAAGCAGGGGCAACTAACAACATTCCAAACAAGTCAAAGCAGGGGCAACTAACAGTGTTCCAATCAAGTCAAAGCAAGGGCAACTAACAACATTCCAAACAAGTCAAAGCAGGGGCAACTAACAGTGTTCCAATCAAGTCAAAGCAAGGGCAACTAACAACATTCCAATCAAGCCAAAGCAGGGGCAACTAACAACGTTCCAAACCAGTCAAAGCATGGCTACACTTACAGTACCTAAATGAAAAACATTGCAAATAATTTACTATATCAAAAGAAACATTATAAATGAGGGAAACAAGCTATAAACGGGGCAATCCATAAATAAAGCAGACAATCCATTAACCACTTTGAAAGCACATACTAAACATACAGTATAAACATTGAACTGGGAAAGATGAATAGCATTCAGAAGTTAAAGTTGGGGTTGGGTCATCGCTCCAGCTTGGTTTTACAATACTCCTAGTGCATTCTTCACATGTCTTTGTATAGGCACCACTCTGTCCGGGAGTGAGGCCCCATTCACACCAGAGCTCAAAGCTCCAAATTCCAAAACATTAGAGGAGAAAAAAAATCAATTATTCTCAATGGAGATGGTTCACATCTCCACCCCATGTGTACCAAGGTGGGGGGGGGGGGTGCCCTGTCCGATATTGCAGCTGGTGCTAAAAGGCACTTAGGGAGATGGGACAATGTACTACATGCACTTTGTCCATCAGGAACAGAAGAAAGTGCAACAATAATGATGATTCTTCTTTAAATGTATAAGCATGTCTGGAGGTATGGGGGGGGGGGGACTCGAGTGCAGTTGCCTTTCACTACTTTAGCTTCTGCACCCATGTGCCCATTTACATTTGTTTTATAGCCCTGCAATAGATTCTGCAATAGCTGCCATTCCTTAAGATAACTGAAAGTGCTGCATAAATTGATGGCGCTATATATAAGTACCTGTAATAAATAAATAAAAAATAACAAAGCAAGGATGTTTTTGTGGTCTGGTGATGGCATCATTGTGTAACTTCGAAATACCATACTACT